AGGGTTACACTTTCAGCCTTGGCTCCGGCTCTGTTTCTTGGCGGTCTACCCGCTCGTCTTCTGTTCTCAGTTCCAGTTGTGAGGCTGAGATCTACGCAGGGGCCATGGCTGCACAGGAGTTACGCTGGCTCACCTACCTGCTCACCGACTTGGGAGAGCCGCCTTGTTCTCCTCCAGTTTTGTACGTCGACAACAAGGCCATGATTGCCTTGTGTAAGGAGCCCAGACTGGAGCACAGGACGAAGCACATCGCTCTGCGTTACTTCCTTGCTCGAGAGTTGCAGCAGCGTGGTCAGCTTCGTCTTGCTTACGTGGCCTCTCGTGCCAACACTGCTGATATCTTCACCAAGGCACTTCAGCCTTGTGATCATCAGCGTTTCTGTACTGTTTTAGGCCTTGTGCCTACTTGGCCTCACTTACTCACTTCTTGACTTTGCTTGTACTGTGGTCTATATACTTAGACCTGCATGCTTACACTTGCTAGGTTTTGATTACTGTAATGTTTGTTCTCCATTATATAACTCTGCTTGTGAACTGGCCTTGTGGCCATTTGCTTGTGCTCAGAGCGTGTGGTGACTTCGTGATCCACCCTGAGCTTGCTTTGCTTTCCTTGACTGGTCTTGTGACCTCTTGTTCTCCCCCACTTTGCCTATGGGGGTGTGTCAAACTATTGTAATGTTCATATTGTGTAGGCTGTAGTGGGATAGCCCATAAGGGGTACAACCTAATTAGGGTTAGTACTTGTACCCACTTTCATCTTAGTTCAATCGTGAAACCAATTTTTGGAAACTATGGTTTCGTTCAGTATTCTTGACAGTGTTTGCCGCAGAGCTCGTGGTTGGGTTGGCAGGAGCTTTGGCTGTGGGAGCCGCCTGCTCACCAGATCCTCCAGCCATGTTTCGGCGGGAGCGCGTACCGGACGCCACCTTGGATTCAAATTTGAATCAGTGGTGGTGATGCGAACAATCCTGAGTAGCTCTCATACCATGTTACAATCTGAATTGAAGGTGTAGGATCATCTCAGGTTGATCGCGAGTGTTGTAGCAACGGAAGATTGCTAGTGTATGTCGGGTACGGAACCTGTCAGTAGAAGGAGATTTGAATCTCGACAGAAGTAAATATAATGATGCTGTACAAGGGTTTATATAGGGATACAGCAGGAATACGAAAGGTCCTAGCTAGCCATGTACTCTGAGGGGGTACATTCCCCTTAGGGCTAATCTAGATGCAGGATTGCAACCGTGCGGTTCGGTAAACGTACGCGGTTCGGTAACCGTTTGAAGTTTTCCGCGCTTTGCACTTTGAATTCTTCCTGCTTGTAACTGTCTTCGATAACTGTCTTGACGCCCGGTCTTCGTCCTCGCTGCAGTCATCGTCGCGTTAAGGATTCGTTACTCTTAGGAATGTTTATTCAACAATTCTATATCGTAACATTTTGTTCCCCGATTCCCCCCAGCTGTGGCCCCATGTTCGGCCATTGTCCGTACTCCATCCTCCTTCAGTGGAGGCCCCCCACCCCCTTTCGTTGAATTTCTCCCAACGCCATCTGCAGTGTTGGGTTTCGCTTTGCCGGCAGAGTTCTGCAGCTTCGCATCGTGCCAATTCTTCTTCTTCTTTAACACTCAGTTCCTTGTTGGGTCGATGGTGAGGTAAGTCTCCTTGCTGTAGGTTCTAATTCCCCTATTGCATCGAAATTGAACCGTGCGGCACAGGATCCCGTTTCAAACCGCTTCCCGCCAATTCCATTTTGATGCATTGGTGTCGGTATGACAACTGTCTTTGTCGTTTCAATTCATTACGACTCTTGGTCTTCGATATCACTAGTGTTGTTATCGCTGTTACTTACATGAATGCTTTACCAAATTCCTTATCGTAACAGTCTTCCATGTTGAGGGGAGGCTACCGGTGAGGGTTGGTTTACCCTCAGGAATTTGTTTTGCATGGCCTGTCACATTTTGAACCAATTTCAAGATTTTGCGCGCGGTTAATTGCGGGCCTTTAACGTCCGCGTAGTAACCTTAGGTTAATGAGGCAATGTACCTGGAAACTCAAGCTTGGTTAATGAGATGTGTATAAAAGAATGCCAAGTTAAAAGCACATATATTGCGTATACATCCAGACACCCTTGTGTACAAAATCAAGTGAGTGCAACTTGTATCACTAGTTCAACAGTTTCGAGTTTCCTCCTTCTGGGGTTTGCGCAGGTCTTCGGCCCCACAAACCACCTGACAGTGAAATAATACAAAGTAAGGCACCCTGCCCAATATTCGTTCTAGCCCTTGACAAATATCCCAGTGTACTACTTTTGAGGTTCCTTCTAGCCCTTGACAAATAGCAATTGTTCAAAGTCGGGATGATGAAATGGTGATTCACTCTCATTTACTATTGAGAAAATGGGGTCATTTAGTTGAGATTGAGGATGTTTTGCATGTGATATTGTATTTCAAAATCAAATATTGGAGCCAAACCAGTTCACATGTAGAACAGCTCTGAAAAAACCTGCAGGCTAGATTGCACTTCCCTTCAGCTGGCTACCTGCGCATCGGACGTATTCTCTGGGCGGCAAAAGGCGCTTCCATGTGCTGAGATGAATCTCGAGTGGAGGAGGCACCAATTTTGGCATTTTGGGATGAGGACGATTGTCCGTACAGACATATTTTGTGGTAACCAGGATCGCCACAGCTCGTCGATTGTACTCAGATCTGTACGACGAAGCCCGCGTCGCACTCTTCCGTACGATATACGGGGTGAGAGCGCGTGTGAGCTAGTTAGTGATTATTTTAATACGGCCCGACCATATTTGTCACGTCGTTTGGGGACAGCTACCTATTCGAATTCGCTCCACCATTCGTTTCAATATCGTACTCTGATTAAAATGTGGAGCTGTCAGTCTTGCTTAGGCAGTCGTATCGTTGTTTTCGTGAAGTTACCGCACTGGATCTATATTATTATTTTTAGGACAGTACCGTCGCAAAGGCATCAACCCTGGGGTGATTGCTTCCGAGGGGCAGCCATCGCATTGGGCTTTAGTATTTTTTTGATCGCGATCATGCCTTCCATTAAGCTTTTATTTCGTGGCTACCACACCAATACTACGGAAATATAATGTATCACGGTTTCTCGGACATTAAACACATTACCACTTATACTCAATATTTTCAACACTTGTTACTATTGAACAAGTATGTCCTGCGAATTTGCTCTGGATGTGATATGGGGCGCGTGCGGAAATTTTCGGTCTGTTACGATGAGACAATCACGAAAATAGTTGATGTGCGCAATCTCGCCTATGTACGCTTAGCGTTAATTCAAATTGTCGCACGCCCTCACTCCTCAGGAGCCTGTCAGGTTGTTTGCATCAGCGACTCCGCTCCACATGTGCAGTATTCCCCTGCGGCCGTTTTTCCCCACCCCACCCCTCCCCCCCACGCAAACACCTGTCCCAGTTCCGAATCATCCTGCCAAACCAGCCCAAACCTGCACCAACCACCTGCTCAAATCCCTGGGCCCCTTAGGGCGTCGATTTTTTTCGAAACCCTACCGAAACGCAATGAACTTATACTAAACCCTTTTGACATGGACAACATCCCATTCCACCGCAATCAAATGAACTCATTTGACACGCCCTGAACTCATCATCGGTATATTAGTAAGCTTTCTCCGCTCATTCCATATCATGCTGCACGCCCCGTTTACACCTAGAACGCGAAGGAGAGAAGTAATTTCCACCATGGCTCGCTATCTCGTCGCTAGTTTGCTCATTCTCCTACTTGTGGCGTCTGTTGTTGACGCAGGTAACAGTAACGGCAATGGAAAGTCTGAGACCAAGGTTGAGAGCAAGCCCGAGACCAAGGTGAGAGCAAGCCTGAGACCAAGGTTGAAAGCAAGCCTGCGAGCAAGGTCGAGAGCAAGCCCGAGAGCAAGCCCGAGAGCAAGCCCGAGAGCAAGCCTGAGAGCAAGCCTGAGAGCAAGCCTGAGAGCAAGCCTGAGAGCAAGCCTGAGAGCAAGCCTGAGAGCCAAGCCTGAGAGCAAGCCTGAGAGCAAGCCTGAGAGCAAGCCTGAGAGCAAGCCTGAGAGCAAGCCTGAGAGCAAGCCTGAGAGCAAGCCTGAGAGCAAGGATGAGAGCAAGGATGAGAATCATGGAAAGGGTGAGAGCAATGGAAAGGGTGGTGACGCGGAGGTTAAAAACAGTCGTCGAAGAAAAGAGGGCACCTGTGCGTTGATGGGTGCGACTACGAGAAGGGCTCCTTTGACTACTGGAAGGTGCGTCAAGTTGCGGAGATTCTTTGCTTCTGCCAGTAGTCGATGGATCACCATGCTTGCAGCAAGTTTATGTCTAATTTCAAGATATGGTAATGCGAATGCCATCGTTGCTCTGCTTTCTCGCAATAACCCCTTTCCGTGCGTTCCTTAACGCAGATTCCGGAGTACAAAGATTGCATGTCGAAGGCCACTAAGAACACCGCCCCCTGGTGCGCGTCTGGCGTGGTTAACGCCAAGGACTGCTGCGATCGCTGCAAGAGCCCCGGCACCACCCTGGACGGCAAGCCCTATGAATGCAAATACTGGGTGCACATCCCGTAAGCACCTACCAAAACTGTCGCGGCATTCTTTATTCAGCCTGTTCATGTCCTCGTTCGTATCGCCTGTTGATTTAGACGTATCGCCCCTCAGTGACCTTGGGTTAACAGCGTCATAACCTGTCGACGTACTTGTTCGCTTCCTTCCCGGCTCAATGTAAGTTGCTCGCACGTTCTTCCCAACCCAATTCCTCTTAAGCTGGTTTCCTGATCGTCGCTCCATTGCCCTATCGCCTTTGCTCTTCGCTCTGTTTGTCGCTTTGCTACGCAGATCGTCGCCCAGCGAGGGCAAGTGCAACGGCAAGGATTGCGGCAAGTGCCTTCTCCTGCCGAACCTCGATTCCCTCACGCCCACTAAGAGCGACAAGAAGGGCTGCGGCGGAAAGAAGGTGCGCATCGGCAGGAACTGCCCCGTCGCCAATGACGACCCGCACTTTTGTGGGCGCGCACAGCACGCGGTTCGACTTCAACGGGCTGCCCGAGAAGAACTTCTGCCTGTACACGGACCGCGCGGTCCACGTGAACATGGGCATGCGCGGGTACCTCGACTCGCGCTCCACGCAGAGCGCCGCCCTCGTCGTCAACGGCTCCGCCGTGCGCACCTGGATCCGCCAGCTCGCCGTCATGTGGACTGACGCCGACAGTGACAATACCGTCTCCGCTAAGCCCGCCGCCCACTCGCTGGTGCTGACGGCGCGCGACGGCAAGGAGCAGCTCCGCGGCGACTCCGGCTTCCTCGCGTCCGCCGAGATCGACGGCACGCCCCTCCCCCGCCTTACCCCGGGTGAGACTCGCAGCCTCGCGGGCGGCAAGTTGTCGCTTGAGTTCGTTGGGGAGGAGAAGACCGGGACCGTACGACGTGGATCACTACTATCTGCGCCTCGACGGGCTTCTGGAGTTGGACCTGAAGTTGCGCCCCGCGCACCCTCTGTTGCAGACACCTGCCGACGCCCAGGTGCATATTAATGTGATGTTCACTGACGCGAGCGCGAGCAGCAGCGTGCACGGCGTGATGGGGCAGACGTTACCGCGATGGCAGGGAGGCGCGCACGGTGGAGTTCTCTCGGCTCGCCGCGATGCTGCACCACCCCGTGTCCGCCGATGGCGCGGAGGGCAAGGGCTTCCTGGACGGGCAGGTGAAGGACTATGAGACCAGCGCCGTCACCTCCACTGACTGCCGCTTCTCCGCCTTCAACGGTCAGGAACTGCCCCTGTCTGCTTAAGCGAAGACTTTGTGGAACCATAAATTTGTATTGTATACAGGGTGATTTGTTGCAGGTGGGTGTAACGGTATTAGTATTTTTATTAGTATTATTTGATTTGTTGGCTATGTAAGAGAAGTAACCAATGGCTGGTTATGAATGATTGTGTTTTTACCAATTAGGTTACCAATTCAAAGCTGAACCTTACGAGTAGTAGTACATCTAGCATTAGCTCTGGAATGAAATATAATAATACAGAAATGTCACTCTTACTCAGAGAATGAGAATGATTTTGTCATGAAGAAGCAGGCCTGATCATAGCCTAAGTCTTAGCCGAACACCTTTCCTCCATACCTTGCTGTGTTTTGCGTATCTGTTTCTTAGAAATCCAAAATCATGTTTCAAATGAATAGCCATTTGTGTTTACCCACCGTAGTTCTGTGTAGGCGATAGTGGGTAGCCTGTATGGGCTCTGGATATCAGACAAAATCCGTCTGATGGTCTGAAAATCAGACACGTTTTTTATATATTCAAATGACTTTCCAGACAAACCATTTTTGCTCATCTGAAAAATAAGACCACGGGCTAATAGGCCGTCTGAGTATTCAGACAGCGAGTACAATTTCGTCTGAGACACAAAGTTCCGAAGCATGCAAAGAGCTGGACATCGGGTTGATAGAGCCTGGATAAATTTGTTGTCTACAATTTCTCACGTGAAGTAGTTAGTCCTCCGCCGTTTTGGTACTCGTGACAAAGGTCAGGGTTCGATTCCTTCTGCCGCCACTGCATTCTAAACTTCGCTTTAAATCTGAAAAGGTTATCCATTAGAAAAATCGGACAAGTGTATATGTTTTAGTCTAAAAATTCAGACAAGGGCCATTGTTTCATCTGAAAAATCAGACCATCTAAGATTGCTCGTATTTCCTTCAGACGAAAGTTTTCCTCCATTTTTTTTTTTCAGACGGGCCAAAAACCTAGCCAGAGCCCTGTATGGGATATGACCCAATGTTAGGGTTAGTACTTGTACCCACAATTATTTCAATGCAGTCATCCTAGCTTCTCATTGTAACATGGTTCGGAGTAGTAGGTCCATAGGACCCGTTTTTTTTTTTTTTTTTTTTTTTTTTTTTTTTTTTTTTTGTTTCGGGCCTCACCATTCCGACTGCGGTTACTGCGTTACCCCACTGCCCTACTGTCAAATGTTGTAGCCTGTAGTGAGGTTTGTCTTAGGGGGTTACAAATGTAGGGTTTGCTATATGTACCCCAACCCTCATCAATAACACAACACTTTCATTCTTGACATGGTATCACCTAGGTTAGGATCCTGTAGGATCCCGTTCTTCCCGCCCGAGCCTGACGCGCTCTCACCAGTTCTGTCGCGTAGATGTCGACACTCTCCCGTTCCGTGTCCCGTCCCGTCCTGAGCCCGTTCCGTCGCGCGCGTTCCCTCTGCGCCCGCCCGTTAGCGCCCGCCCGTTCGCGCCCGTCTCGCGTGCCCGTTAGGCTGCCGCCACGCCTGCCCGTTAGGCCCGCCGCGGGCCCTGCCTTCGCGCCGCCGCGCCTGCCCGTTACGGCCCACCGCGGGCCCTGTCTTCGCGCTGCCGCGCCTGCCCGTTAGGTCGCCGCCGTGCCTGCCCGTTAGGCTGCCGCCGCGCCTGCCCGTTAGGCCCGTCGAGGGCCCTGCCTTCGCGCCGCCGCGCCTGCCCGTTACGCCCACCGCGGGCCCCTGTCTTCGCGCCGCCGCGTCTGCCCGTTAGGCCGCCGCCGCGCCTGCCAGTTAGGCTGCCGCCGCGCCTGTTCGTTTAGGCCCGTCGAGGGCCCTGCCTTTCGCGCCCGTCGCGGGCCCCGCCCTAGCCTCTCGCCGCGCCTGCTCGTTAGGCCCGCCGCGGGCCCTCCCTTACAGCCGCCGCGCCTGCCCGTACCGCCCCGGCGCCGCTGCCTGCTCGTTAGGCACGCCGCGGGTCCTCCCTTACAGCCGCCCGTGGGCCCTCCCCTTACAGCCGCCGCGCCTGCCAGTTCAGCCAGCCGCCGCGCCTCCTCGTTAAAGTCCGTTGCGGGCCCGCTCGTTGGGCCCTTCCTTCGCACCGCTGCGCCTACTAGTTCAGTCCGCGCGGGACCGCCCCTAGCCCCGTTGCGCCCGCGTTTTTTGCGCCCGTCACGGACTTGCCCTAGCCGCCCACCGGTCCCTACCAGTGCCACCCGCCGCCGGACTTGTCGCTTCTACTTACACTATGGCGACCCTAGGGTCTTCGCTTTGACGCTGACAGTAGAGACCGCTCGAGTTTCCGGTCTGGCTCCCTACGCGCGCGTCGCCTTTTAGAGAGTCAGGTTTAGGCGGGCGAGTCCCTTTGGGCGCACGCTATGGTGACCCTTCAGCGCCCGACGACCCTACGCCTTTAGGCACCGCCAATGACGACGCAGCCAGGGACCGCTTTACCCGCCAGCGTTGCTGACTGACGGCGTGGAAGGCGCGTGACGCTGCGGCCTGCATCGCTCTTAGCAGCCTCCTCCCTGAGTTTGAGGAGGCCCACTTCACTCAGGTTCGCACTGCTAGTGAGTTCCTGACTGCGATTAAGGCCCGCTACGCTACTCCCACCACTGTCTCTCTTTGGCCGACTCTCCTACCGTTCCTGTTCCCTGACCTCGCCTCGTTTGAGCGCTCTGCTGACTTGATTGGCTCACCTTCCGCTCGCTGATTCTAGCTACCGCGCTGCTTGCACTGAGGCACAGCTTGCACTGCTTCCTCCCCCCATGGCGATTACTATCTATTTCCATCGCCACTAGCCTCCCTGGCCGCATTGCCTCGGTCCGTGATACGCTTCTCCTGAAGCACCCTAGTTGAGCTCACTATCGAGGTCCTTGAGTCTGCGCTCAAGGACGTTACAGAGAGCAACCTCCGCTCCGTAGCCTCCGCCTCTGGTGCGTGCCCCCTCCACTGTTCCACGGGTGCACTGTCCCTCAGCTGCCCACCTTTACAGCCTCTCTCGCCACTGCTGCTACTGACCGTGACCGCAGTGCTGTTACGACTTCTTCGCGGTCTCGAGGTAGAGGTGGCAAGAGGGGCGGTCAGGGTACAGGTGGCGGCGGCGGTGGAGGCGTTGGCGGCGGAGGTGGCGGGGGTGGCGTGCCGACTGGTGGCGGAGGGAGCGCAGGGCCTGGAGAGGCGTCTCGTGCAGCGGCCAGTGACTCCCCTACTGCAGCTGGTGGAGGCGACACCCACCTCGTCCGCCACCTTCTGGTCAGCGGGCCGCGGCGGGTGGAGCAGCGGCGTGGTACCTGGCCCAGTGGCAGCAGCAGCTGCAGCAGCAGCAGCCCCTCCCCTCGCAGCAGCCCTCGCAGCAGCAGCGGCAGCAGCAAGTTTCGGGGCCAGGACAGCGCCAGCCCCAGCGAGGTGTTGTACACCCTTCGTGCACCTATCAGCTTTTGACAGGTGCTCGCCGAGGCCAGCCTTGTGGCCGCACCCACCCTCCTGGTCAGTGTTTTTCTCAGCTCACTGACACAGTTCGCTTGGCCTTCGGCGTTGGCGGCCCTGCCCTTGACTGGTTTCCTCTTGTTGAGACGTACAGCTCCGCTCTTTGGGGCATGTCAGCTTCTCAGTTGGTTGATCTCTTAAGAACTCCTCATGCTATGTATGCTGTTGTTGACTCTAGTGCTTCTGACTCTGTTTACTCGAGTGTTGTTAGCTTAGGTGCTAGTCTTGCTGAGTTGCCTGTTGGTAGTGTAGGCACTTGTGTAGACACTAGTCCAGGAGCTACTTCGGAGGACACTTCGCTGTCTTTCACTTTGGACTCTGGGGCTTCGCACTGCTTCTTCCGGGACCACACGACACTTACTCCGCTTCTGGCGCCGGTCTCTGTGGCTTTGGCTGATCCCACCTCGGGACCAGTCACTGCTCGCTATGTTGGAGTAGGCTAGAGCTCGCTCTGGCCTTTATTTTGGTGTTCTCTTATCATTCCACCATGCTTAGAGCGAGTTATGCTTCCAGGTTCAATTTAGGTTCATTTCGTAGCTATAGTACAAACTGAACACACCCTAAGTTCAATTAGGGTTTCCAATTCCTTTCTAGACTTGTATCTCGACACTTCTTTCCTATACAATTTTCTCTCGCTACCTTCTCTCTTCATAGCACATGGCTACCACACTCTCAGTTTTAACATGGTATCTAGAGCCAAATCCCTTGGCGTTTTGTCCCAATCTATATCTCTTAGTACGGTTTAGGCCCTTAGGCATCCGGCGCGCCACCTTTTTACCTAGTCGAAAATATCCTTCCCTAGTATTTCGACCCTTAAAGTTCTTTTTTTTTTTTTTTTCAATCACGGAAACCTTCCATCCATCACCCCGAGGTCTCCCTGCCTAGTCATGCGCCCCGTCCCCTAGTCGCGCGCCCTGTCTCGTCGTCGCGCACGGCCCTCCCTCCCCCCCCCCCACCTCGTCGCGCGCCCTACTCACCGCCGCGTCGCGCGCCCCTGCCGTCGTCGACGTGCGCGGCCGCGTCGACGGCGACGTGCGCGGCCTCCCCGCCGTCGATGCGCCGCGCGCGTCTTGCCCACCGCCCTCCATCTCCTTGGCCACCCTTCCCTCCTCCCAGCCACCCTTCCTTACCCTCTCGTGGGCGGCCTGCCACACCTCCCTGCAGGCGCCTTCCCCTCCCCCCCGTGGTGCGCCTTCTTCTGCCGTTTCTGCACCACCTCCTCCTTCTCCCCTCACCCCATCCGCCTCTTCACCCTCCTCCTCCTCTCCTCATTCCTTCCTCCCTTCCGTGCCTTTCCTCCCTTCCTCCACCTCCTTCCCCTCCGCATCTGCCACCTGGCTGCGTGTTACTGATTGCCACTTGGTGATCGTGACCCTACTTCCTCCCCACACTCCGCTCCTTCACCCTCCTCCTCCTCTTCTCTCTCCCTCTATTTCCCCCACCCTCTCACCTCTTCCTCCGCCTCTCTTCTCTCCC